TCAGCTTTCATGCGCTGGTGCGTGAAATTTCTAACTGTCTTCCAGTGTTTGAACTATTTTTGCATAGACTGAAGTACAAAGCAGTGAAAATCATTAATAGGCAATCGTTCGATGGGTTGAATTACACAAAATGCACGATTGCACCGTCTGATGCGCGTTGCTATATATATATTTTTTTTTCATTAAATTTCTTTCCCACTGCTATAGGAAAGCAGTGAAAACGTGCGGGCTTTAATAAGTCATTAACAGCATTGCTAACGACTAAATACTGTTGGCAACGTGCTACTACACTTCGCACAACTTCCAAGTGCCTCCTCTTCTTACAGGTTAAATTATGGAAAGGGTTCTGCTTCCTTATTGCCTACAGTGATGCACCTGGCATAATATTTACTTTTCGCCACTCCCAACAAAGCTTTATTTTGCTTATATTAGCGGATTTTCCGTGACAGATATGCTTTTTTTTTTTGTCGAAGTGCAATAAAAATTGGCCAACGCACGGGCTGCCCGTGCGAAGATGCGTTTTTTGCATGGTTCCCCGCAGTTTTACGAGCTGCCCGTGCGAAGATGCGTTTTTTGCATGGTTCCCCGCAGTTTTTGTTGCTACCGGCACCGGTTAGTGCGAAGATGCGTTTTTTGCATGGTTCCCCGCAGTTTTTGTTGCTACCGGCACCGGTTTTTTCGGAAAATGCTTCTAGCTAAACAAATTAAGACTGGCCACCAGAACTTTCAGGAAAAATCTCCTCAAAATTTCAGCTTTCTAGCTTCCGTGGCCCATGAGTTAGCAACTTGCTGGAACAAAATTTTCACGGGCCCGTGCATGTTTACCAAGCATACCTGAGAGCTGGGTTTGAGCTGGACGGGGTATATCCTCTTAAAATTACATTCCTTTAACTTCCCAAATAATTGAGTTATCAGTTTACACGAAAAAAAAATTGGCGGGCTCGTACGCGGGTACCACGCTTACCCGGGACCTGGGTTTGAGCCCACTAAAACCCGCTTGGGCGGGGAACTCTACCCCTAGATTTCAGCCTTCTAGCTTTTCAGACCCTCGAGTTATGAACTTACCCGGAAAAAATTTTGGCGGGCTCGTACGCGGGTATTACGCTTACCCGGGGGCTGGGTTTGAGCCCACCGATACCAGGTTGGGCGGGGAACATTACCCAAGATTTCAGCCTTCTAGATTCTCAGATCCCCGAGTTATGAACTTACCCGAAAAAAATTTTGGCGAGCTCGTACGCAGGTACCACGCTGGTTTTGGCACCCATTTTGAGGATTAGGGGCGGTACGTGCATGCAGATTAAGTTCCCGAAATTTCAGCCCCGCAGCTTTTATAGGT